ATCAACATGCTTAAGGTTATATACTTTCTCTTCATACACAACCAAGGTGGTAAGTTGTAAATCGATATTAAAACTGGCCAGCATGAGTACGTTGTAGAAACTCCACGGAATGGATTGAATCCATCAGTTGATAAAGCTAACCGAAGGTTCCTAGTGTCAGAAGCAAATTCAGGCCACCGGCTGTCAACATCCTTCCATGTTTTTGAGTTTGCGGGGTGTCTAATCTTGCCATCCTTTTGTCGTTCGCTATCATGCCAAGTCATATCCTTTGCAATATGTGGTGTATTAAAGAAATTCCTCAACCTCGGAAGTAAAGGAAAATACCACAAAACCTTAGCGGGTACCCCTTCCAATTCTTTGCCCTTTCTATTCAACTTCCATCTAGACATCCCACATATGCGACATGTTGTACTATCTTCATCTCTCTCGCCATTATACAGAAGACAATCATTTGGGCATGCATGTATTTTTTGATATTCCATACCTAAAGCACATAAGGTCTTCTTTGCTTCACCAAATGACGAAGGCAGGCAGTTGCCCTTTGGGAGAAATGTCCCCAGCAAAAGCAGAATTTCAGAGAAGCATGAGTAAGAAATCCCATGCTTTGCCTTCAAGTTATATAATTTCACTAGTGCCTTCAGCTTAGTGTAGGTGTTGCATCCCGGGTAAAGAGGTTCAGAATCCCCTTGGACATGGTTCATGAAATCAGAGTATTCAAAAGACCTGTCCTCACCATCTTCTTCGTTGTTTTCATCTGTTCCATCGTCAAATGAGTCATGAACACGTCTATTGTGTGGGTGAGGGGGTTCATCATCTGGATTTAGCTCTCCATGCCATATCCAACATGTATATGATTCATCAATACCATGTTGGAAAAGATGTGCCCTACTGTTTGTGTGTTCCAGGATTTTGTGTGAACACACTTTAGACATGGACAACTAATTTTTTGTCCCTCAAATCTGTTTTCAGTTGCAGACCTTAACAATTCATCCACTCCTAGTTCATACTCTCTACTTCTTCTATCGGATTTCATCCACGATTTATCCATACGTAATTGAGATAAGACTGGTGACTTACCAGACACATGTCATGAAGGGTTGCTAGCAGAGTATTACTCCATCGCCGAAAATACCGCAGTGATGAACAAACAGCTAGACCTCAACTATGACTCGATTTCACCCTTGGCTTAATTTCATCCCAGCGCGATCCTAATTTGGGTTTCCACTTTACTCGCTATACCGCAGCTCCCAAGGAAACTGGAAAAGGAGGTTGACTTCACCTTTTTTTCACTGTTATACTTCACCTAATTTTTTTGATGGGATGAAAAGTACAAATCTCTACCAAATTTGACTAAATGTACACTAAAAAAAACAAATGTTAGATTCACAAATAAAATGACCTATAAACTTATATTAATTATATATAGCTTAATTATACACAAAAAGTCATATACAAAAAAAATTATGCAAAAAGTTTTGACTACAAAAAAAATTAATACTAAGTATTTCATTAAAAATTCATAGTGTTAAACATAATTTAGTTGTTATAAACAAATTCTATACGTTGATCTGTTAATTTGAAAATTTTGCATTTTCAACCATTTTTCATTAAATGTCACCAAAATATAACTCATACTTACATGAACAAGGGAGATAGTGATATACCCGACCCGACTTTAAAAAAATTTCAGGTTGGATTTGGATTATTTTATTTTCAGTTTTGCTTAGATCATTCAAGTAGTCGGTCAGGTCGGTTAAACTTGGGTTTGGGTTGAATTGTCATCCCTAATAAGCCACAATAAGGGAATACCTTGAAACGTTTTTTTAAATAATACATAAATCCCAAGACATATAATAACATACCAAAAGAAACATCTTAATCTAATAACATTTTGTTCCAAACTTCCCTCCGAAAACAAAACATATACTACGTAATAACATACCAAAAATAACATTTCGGTTTTAATTGGCCACCCAAAAAACCATACAAAAACATCCCATTACAAACACCCCTCCACCATTTTAAGTAATTTGGAATGCAGGCAGTCTTCATTGGTTTACACCTTCTTCTTCTATTTATGTGTACTGCAGCAACCACTCACTTTCTGCTTTTTCCTTTTGTCCTTCCTGCTGCCTTCAGCCATGGCCACATTACTCCTTGGACAACAAACAAATTGAAACAAAAAAACATTTATGTCAGGAGTTGCTCTTGAATTTAATCATCACGTAGTGTAACACAGTTGTAAGAAGAAATTAAACAAATTGGTACTATGCATATACCACATTATCCCAGCATCTCCTTAACCAATTTATCAGGCACACCGAAATTATTTTCGTAGGTTAAGATAGTGTCATTGAATTGCCAGGGTTAAACTATAATGCACTTTTAGGAGAGACACCATGGACTTGCCGATTAAGATAGTTGTCATGTTTGTTAATTTGGTGAGATCATTCAACAGACATTTAAGCCATTTAAGCTTATTGTATATTGTACAAAAAAATCAGCCAGTTCATCAACTAATAATCATCACAATATCACACATTCACATTAGTGTAGTAGAGATTAGATAAACTAAAAATCAGCCAGTTCAACTAAAAATCAGCCAGTACAACTAATAATCATCACAATGCACTTTTAGAAGTGAACACTGATACGGTATTCCCAGCAGGTTAAAGTAAAACATGAAAGGTAACCATGCAAGGATAGGCAGCAGAAATTAAAAATTTTAACATCCTAACATGATTATCTTGCCCAGAATCACGTACTAAAACTTATAGTAGTAAGAAATTTGTACCTTTCTTCGTAAGCGGTAAAAACGAAGAAGTCGTAGGAAGAGCGTTGAAAGTGCAAACGTAACCGTTCAAGCGTCCGGTCTCCAACTTTGACACACGAACAACGCCGGAGTCTACCACAATCTTTATGCTAGTAAAGATTATAGTAGTATAAAATATAAAGATTAAAATTTGGGATAACAATAATCTTGTATATTTCTATAGAAAATATTTCCAATAATATTTAGAAAATATTATAGATATTTTCTATACACAAAATGATATATGTGGAACCAAAATAATATTTTCTCTCACTAAATTGTAATGGCCGAAACTCAAAGCAAAAAAAATGATTTTCTTCTCCACTTGTTTTAATGGTGCGTGAGGTGCATATATAGAAAACAAATATTAATCTTTGTCATTAGCTAAATGACAAATCAATTAACTCCACTAAGTAATCAATCAATGAAATTTTATTCTTCACAATCTCATCATGGCCGAATGAATGATATGAGAAGGATTTTCAAAATTCTTCTCCACTCAAATGTTCAAAGTGTATTTTATTTGACACCAAAAATTAATATAAAATCAAATAAAATACCAATATCATTTTTAAACAAGTATACAAATATACTTTAAATAGTTTATGTCAAAATAATTATTTTCATAATTAAAATGACAAACCAAAATAAAATATTCAACATATAATATATATACATTAATCGGTACATATATATAATATATATAACCGAATATTTATATATATAATATTATATTCCAAAATATTTTATTTTACTATTTTACAAATATACAAATTACTTATTATCCCATTGTTTAATCCTACTCCTTAAATTGTTCAAAGTGTGTGACCCGTATAGGCACTTATAAAGCTGGCCACAGTATTGGCTCTGCACCAATACTATAAGCAATAAGCGGTATCTAGCAACACATTATTGC